TGATTGGCTAACATGTCTGAGATGTCCTGGGTGTTAAAATCGCCTAATAACACTACACCACAGTCTGGATAAGAAGTCTTTACGGAGTCTAGTGTTTCTATGATGTACATTGTGCGATCTCGCTGCACTTGCGCAGAGGCCACAGGAAAATACACCACCCCACATATAATACCAGATAGTGGGCGTGGTAGACGATGAGGGCGTAACCATAGCCACAAACACTCGTGTTCTGGAGACTCCAAGTCAGATCTACGCTTGAAAGGTATCTCTGAAGACACGAACGCGCACACGCCACCCCCTATTCGGTTGTGGCGGTCACGTCTCGCGATGTTGTAACCTGGAATGGTAAGGATGTTATTATCGATGTAGTCATGCAGCCAAGTCTCCGTAATAATTGCAATATCCATGTGAAACGTTAAAAGCTGAGCAGTCAACTCGTCCAGTTTGTCCCTGACCGATCGAGCATTTGCCATGTAGAAACTTGGGAAGCTGTAATTGGGGCGTTTTTGAGAAGTAATCTTAGTTAGATTGATTACTTTCACTGCTCGTTGACGATTTATTGGTTTACTGGGTCCACGCACTGTGCTGCGAGGTGTGATCCTGACCGGAATCGATCGTGCGTCCTCTCCTATTGTTCGCGGAACAAAAGGACAGCTACGAGAATTAACATAATCACCAGTAAAAATGGAGACACAATTATTTAAATTTCTTGATCTTGAGTTGTAAATATTCCTGGATTGACAGGGTCTTGAAATCACAGGAATCGGCATGTATTTTTGAGTGAAGGTATTCCGAAAGCGTAGAATGCCCAGGTCTTGGAGTCGGTGTTTTAATTCAGGACACAAAGAGACGCTATTAATAGAGGCAGCCAAATTACGCAAAGCCGAAGGAGAATACGCAATTGTTGGTCGGGTTCGGTCAGAAGTCCTTTGCTGGTCTTGAATTAAACAGGGTCCTGGTAGAGGGTGAACGTCACCACTTCTAATGATGTTTTCTAGTCCGACGGGCCGCAGGACAAACGCTGCTTCGGGCAGACATATCATAACAGGCCCATGTTTAGAAGTCTTCTGAACAGCGAACTTAACTCGATGTTTCCGGCGAAATTTAACCAGTTCCAGTTTGAGAGATGGTCCGACTGGCAGGTTAGTATCTTTAGCCGTCCTGTAAAACAAGCTGGTGAACCTAGGCTCCGCTAGATGGGCTAGAAGAATAAGAAATACGAAGAGCCTAATGACGGTGCGTGTGTCCGCCATTAGACCCCAGTCCCTTCAAAGGTTCTCCTTTGTTTTAATTCTTTATTTTAATTTTACTCCCTGATTAGTATAGGTAATCACATGAGGCCAAGTACTATTAAGGATTAATTGCACGAGAGTTTTCAAAATTTTCCAAAATTGCCCGAGTCGCGAAGCAAAAAAGGGCAAAATTTATACGAAGGAAAATCACGCGCGCAGTCTATTTTTATCTGGGAAGCAACGGATTAGCAATGCAACGGATTAGCCAATCATTAACAGGTAATCATGCCCTCTCTTGATTACTAAAAATGCCCTCGATTAAGAAAAAAATGCCCTCTCTCTCAACCAATCAGCGCTCAGTAATTTTGCCCTTTATTGATAACACTGTAAATCAGGATGAGTTTATGTGAAAACGGAAATAAATATCTTGAATCAGATACCGTCAGATATTAAACATCCAGGCTGGAATCTTTACTCGACTTATAAAGATTTTAGTCTTTTTCATCAGAACCAAAGTTTATTCACTTGTCTCGGGAATTTCCCCCGTTATGGCAAATAGTAGTTTGCATTTGCGGCAAAACGAAAAATGAATTTCAGACTGTAACTCTTCATGGGGACTCCCTTTTTTGCTCGCTTTGACTTGTCCTTTCAACCTGATTGCTATATTTAAAATGTCCCTTGCTCGAACTCATAGTAAGGCGAAAGTTTCTGCCGAGATGTTCGATGGAATATTTCTTCCAGAGCCTGGTGAACATCACTCTAATTAAGGATTTTATGCCAGTGTAATGAACAATTTCAATTAAAAGTGAGGAATGTTGGAGATTTTAATAAGACAATTTGAATTTTTGCTTATCTGCCCTTCGTCAATCTGCCTCTATGTGTTAAACGGATGGGGCCTGATGACCCAAAGTGGTAGAACTTGGCTCGGTTTTATTTTATACCCATACCTTTAGTAACAAGTAAAGTTCTTATCGAGGCCAAGAGTTTAATAACCAATCACCAAATCAAAATGAATCATGAAGCAATCAACTGTCTCTAACCTCCACATCTGACGTGTGTGGGTTGGTCACGGAGAGCTTCCTTGGGAAGGTGTCGACTTCACCCGAAGGAATGGGCAATTTCAACGGAAAAGTTACGTTTGAAAGGTATTGTTCCCCTTTAACTTCGTTCCTAGTGCGTTTTTTCTACGTTTACTCAGTAACCTGACTTTAAAATGCACCTTATAAAATGGAGAGCCTTTCCTTTCTCTATAATGACTCAGTTCTAAAATTTGTCGAAGATGTGAGTTCGTAATATTCCAATTTAAAACCCTCGTACCTTAATCCTGAGCGTAAACGCACCAAACAAAAGAAAACAATCCTTTTCGGGACGGTAAACAAACGGGAGTGGAGAGAAGCGGGACCTTGTCTACGTGAGGCAGTACCCTCCCCGCCAGCGTGAAACGAATGCGAGGTTTCCCCTCTCCCTCCCTCCCTTCCGTTTCATCTGGGGGGAAGGGTAAGGCTACACGTAGGCCAAACGGGCCTGGAAGGTGGGTTTGAGGTGTGCGTGACCACAAGTGGATACCGTGTCTCCAGACAACCAATAGGAGTGACGAAAGATTAGGATCAGACTTTGGCTTGGAGTGGTCCACTGTGTAGTGGCGTACTCGATTTTCGGTTTTGTTTGTTACAAAGAGGCGTCGGTCCAGGGAGTAATTAAACTGCAAACCTGGCGTTTTTCAGTTCAGTTTAAGATAAGTCAAAACAAGGAAGTTCCGTCTATTTTTTATAGTGAAGATGGAAAGTTACCAGTCGACACTACCGAGATCTATAACTAACGTAACGGTGGGCGTGCTTCTCCGGCTCCATCTCGTGAAATTAACTTATTATCGAGATGATTGAGGGGAAAGTTTGCGACCAGCTTAGGTTAACGAGATCTGTAGAAGCTGGAAACGTTTTACCGTTTTAGTTAGATTTTTGAGTTGAATTTACCGCTCTAACTTCAAATCATTAAGGAAAAGAGTTGTTAATTAAGCACACACCAATTTTGCCTTGTAGAAATTCGAAGATTAACCTGTTTACCTTGAGTCACCTTGTAAACTGATAAGTTTGAATCAACCGGATCGACTGCAACCTTATAGATCTGGGGTCTTTCAGGGAATAATTGTAAGGGCCTTTCCGCACTGGCGGAAAAGTTGTTTATCTAGTCAAATTTCTGTCATCAACATTTTACTAGCTCTGCATAAAATACTCTGTATAAGGACCCTTCCTTGAGGCGTATACAGTCAGTATACACAATTGTATACGGTAAATATAAGGATGTGTAAGGTCCGTATAATGATCAGTACACGTCAGGGTATGCTAAGAAAATACCTGTTGGTATGTCGTCACTTGATGAATAAATTGGAGTTGGAATCCTTTAGCAAACTATACTGGCTGGTCTTCTGAGCAGATCAGGCGCTACCGGAATTTGACAGCTTTGAAATTTTTACTGCGGATGCAACAGACGAAAAAAAATTGTCATGACGAAATTTCTCTTTTGATTTTGTTCAGACTTTCTTAGTTTTGTCCGGTACAGCAGAAAGGCCGTGAGGCAGCAAAATATTTAATTGACAACAGGAGGCAAAGATATCTTTCTTTTTTCGGAGGCATTTCGTGTCATTTTCCAATTTAATTGTATTGCCCTTAGGAGAAGTATTTTAATAAGTATAGAGCACGCACGTACTTTTAGTATTTCCATTAATGGTACAGCATTTCCAGGCCTTTGTTCCAACTTTACGGAATTTTTTCAAACAAGGTTCCAGTGCTAACCAAGAAACCTTGAACACTCCTGCCAAAATCATCGGGATCGTCAGAAAGTGAATGAGATTATAAACGCCATCGAACATTTGACCTGCCTAGTTTTATATTGGTCTCGTACTAATTCTAAATTGCTTTGTCCAGCGAGTTGTGGAAAATCAAGTAGAGGATAAATTAGATCTCAGGAGCCATGACCAGTTATCATTTATCGCTTAAGGGGTCGAATGATTTTACTTATTTATTTAATTTTTTGTGGGGGGATCACATGGTTTTCAGGGAGAACAGAAGGAATCATTCATCGCAAGAGACTATACACGCTCTTAGCCATCGCTAACGGTGTATAAAGCAAGGACTATTGAAAATTGACTGTCTATAAGGGTGGGGGGGGGGAGGGGGGGCGGGGGCCATTAGAATATACACAGCCTAAGGGGAGGTATCCTAAGGGGAGGTATCAGGAAAATTTTATTGTGACACGACCAAAATCCTTCAGAAGTTAGAGTACTTTTCCCTGGCGTATTCAAGAGATTTTCAGTTTCCTCCGTTTCAAACTTAAAATGCTAACTTCAAAACAGGATATATATTATTATTGATATATTTCATTGGAATCTATATGTTAATAGATCAAGGTAAATAAGTCCTTCTCATTTTGTCTTATATTTAAACTTAACGGAAATGAAAGAAAAATAGAGTCTAACACAAATTTCTCTCCCTATAAACAAGTACGGGTAACGGTCTCTTTTCATGGCCGGTTCAAATAAATGCATTCTACGCGCATTTTTTAGAAATACAGATCTGACCCGTTAACAAATGGCAATTTTCTTTAGAATCACGCTCTTCTCAAACACGCTCTGTGAAAGTCAGCGATTGGTCGAGGCCATTCTGAAGGTCAGCCACTCTTCCGAAAACTGTCCATCATCTGATTAAAAACATGTCTGTCTACAACTGCATAATAAGCCTTTGAATGTGTGAGGTCAAGGTAAATTTACACGATTCTCAGAAATCTTGCATATCGAATATGCCAAAGACAACTCTCATGTAATTGGTCAATATTAATAGCATTTCTATCGCATGACTACTTTGTAATTTGTTTTACGCCTGTTTGATACATGAAGCGAAAGCCTTATCAAGCCTTTAATCATGGATATCAAAACGTTGCTCGCCAATCTTCATGAAGAAGTATCCTGCTCTGTGTGTATGGTCACATTTACTGAACCAAAACAGCTTCCATGTTTGCACAGCTTTTGCCTCCACTGTTTAGCAGGAATCCAAAGAAACAGCGGCCGCCATGATGTCATAACATGTCCTGAGTGTCGAAGGGAGAGTCAAGTCCCTGGAGGAAATCTTAAAGATCTGCCCACAAACTTTCGCATCAACAGCTTACTAGATGTGTTGGCCATAAGGGACTGCAATTCTACTGGAGTCAAATGCGGAAACTGCGACAAACGAAGAGTAGAAAGTTTCTACTGTTTTCAGTGCTGTTCATTTTGGTGTGACGAGTGTATCACTGTGCATAACTTACTCCGAGCAAATAAAGACCACCGAGTTCTTGCGCTCAAAGATTTTGAAGATCAAGACATCGAGGATGTCTTAAAACGACCAGCATTTTGCCCACGACCGGGCCACGAAAAGAAAGAATTGGAATTCTTCTGTAAGAAATGTGAACAAGCCATTTGCAATTCTTGTGTTGCAACCACTCACGATGGACATGTTAAGATACTACTGGAAGAAGCGGCAAATGAAAAGAAATTGCAAGTCATGTCTGAGATTGAGTCCAGAAAAGCAAAAGTGCAAAGAATGAGAAACAAAATATCTCAACTTGACGAAAGCTGTGATAAAATCCAAACCCAAGTCGCAAAAGTAAAAAGAAGCGCGCAACAGTTTGCCGAAAGCATGATTGCTGTCATCGAAGCCAAGAAACAGGAAATCTTTTCTGAAGCGGATCATGAGGCACAACAGTACCTGGAACGTTTGCGAATACAAAGGATCGAGATTGAAAACAAAGTAAAAATGGTCGAAACAGCTGTAGGAAAATCTGAAACACTATTACAACGGAGCACAAACGCAGAGCTTGCACAGTTCGATGACTCACAAAACACAACACTCTTGAAAGGAGTTGATGATGAGAGAGAAGAAGTCGACTGCAACCTTGAACATTTAACATTTATTTTCGAGGAAAACAAAGCTTTGAAGACAAAAGCAATCCACGAGGGAATCGGCTCCATTAGAGCGTTTCTCAGCAAGACCAGAGCGGATCAAGCAACTGCTGAAGGAGAAGGACTCACTGAGGCGATCGTTGGAATTCAAGCGAAATTTGTTTTGACGACAAGAAATGCTGAAGGACGACAATGCCACGACGAGCGTGACCGAGTAACAGTGGAAATTAAAAATCAGCAAGGCCATGACTGTGCGACGGAAGTGCGAGTCCAAGATATTAAAGATGGTAGCTATAAAGTGGGTTATTTTTCCAAAGAAACTGGAAGATGTAAGGCAGAAGTTAAACTAAACGAAGAACATGTTGCAGGCAGTCCATTTCCGGTTCGAGTGAAACCCAGACAATTCAGACCCGTGCTATCTTTTGGACAACGAGGTTCGTCTGCTGGAATGTTACACCTACCCTGGGGAGTGGCAGTGAATGAACGCGATGAAATTGTAGTGACTGAACAAGGTAACAACAGGGTTCAAGTATTCAGTAGTGATGGAACTTACTTACGGTCGTTTGGTAGACAAGGTAATAAACAGGGAGAATTTAATTGCCCACGCGGAATAACAATACATGAGACTAATAACATTATAGTCGTGGACAGCTGTAACCACCGTGTTCAATTGTTCAGTGAGCAGGGTGAGTACCTGAGCCAGTTTGGTGGTAAGGGAAATCTTGATCACCAGCTGTCTAATCCTCTCGGTGTATCTGTAGATAATAAAGGCAATATTCTTGTTGCTGATAGCGGTAACAAATCAATTAAGATCTTTTCTCCTGACGGCCATTATTTAAGTAAATTCGGGGGTGAGGGTTCTTTTACCTTTCCCTTTCACTGCATACAATATGACAAATATCTGATAGTGTCAGACGCAGATGAACATTGTATCAAAGTGTTTGATAGAAATGGTAATTTTTTATACAAATTTGGAAATAAGGGGGAAGGGGATGGAGAGTTCAATGAACCTCGTTGTTTATCAGTTAACAAGGCAGGACACCTGATGGTTTGTGATGCATTTAATCACAGAGTACAAGTATTTGAGCTAAGTGGAAAATTTGTAACAAAATTTGGATCAGAAGGAGAGAAAAAAGGAGAATTTAATCTCCCTATCTCTACTGCAGTGCTCAGTGATGGTCGAATAGTTGTGTCTGACTTTGGTAACCATCGCATTCAGATATTTGAATAGACATCACATCACTATGCCTTACCAGATTTGAGCTCATTTTTTCAAACTTTTAAACATGAAACTGCTTTCAACACGTGATTTATATTCTCTGTAAGAATCTTCTGAATGGTCAATGAAACTACAACACTATAGTTTCAATTAATGCTACATCCAAGATAAATATCTTGTTACACCTATTTTATATGATATTGTTAATTAAGTAATTACAGAATTTACTACTATTGTCATAAAACAGATCATCTGCTCCACTGGTTTAACTCAGAAAAAGGCTCCAAACTCAAAAATTGTAAATAATCAAACGGTAGAAATGTGTCATTAAAGTATTTGTGATTGCATTTGCAAACTTTGCTGTATAGTAATCACTTGGCAAAAACAAAAAGGAGTGATTTGAAACTTTCCGACTGATTTTAGTCCAATATATCTGGGAAGGTCACAATTACATCTCATTTATTATGAAAGGAAGCTAGGATAAGAAAAACCTTAAAAAATTTTTAGGATTTGGGGTAGTTTCCGCCGTTCTGTCTTTTAGGATTTCGGGTAATTTTTCCCCCGCTTCGTCTTTAAGGACTTGGGGTAATTTTCCGCCGTTCGGTGTTTAGGATTTTGGGTAGTTTTCCGCCATTCCACCATTCCATCATTCCACCGTTCCGGTGTCCTAGCGGATATGGACCCCCCTCCACAGATTTGGACCCCCCCCCCCAACAGAACTGAGTAAAACACCATCATTAACGTTCTCGTAGAAATAGATAATACGTTTCAGTGCGTACTAAAGTATGTTTTTAATTCAAAATATGCGTATCGCCGATGCATACGAACTGGCAAAATGTGCAAGCATTTTGTTCAATGTTCGGAGAAAGGTCGCTTTTGAACCTTTTCCGCGATAGTCGAACACCGCTAGATTCAGTAAGAGACAAACTTATGACACTAATTTATTTTGTTATTGTTCAATGCCCAAGTGTTGAGACGACATGGTACACTGCAAGTTTGTTGTTTCAGATCCCTCGACAGTTAATAATCGTTAAAATTAGAAAATAAGATTGAGTTCGATGAAATAGTCTCCACTTTGTTAAGACGTAGACATGTTGATTTGCATCTGAAAATAAGCTGAGAGTTCCAATAGTTCAGAATAGAAACATTTTTTCTTATAATAGGCTTTACGAACGACTTGTAGTAGGAGTTGTTACTTCGTTCTTGTTCAGAAACTGTTTAATGTTATTTAATTAGAAAATCAGACTGAGTTATTTTTGTGACTGGACGCAACAGTCTCCACTATTATTATGACGTTTCGTATCAATGTTGATTCGCATCAGAAGAAGCAAAGATTTATTGTTACAATTTCAATCGTTCGAATGCAGTAGTTTGTTCGCATCTAATTCTTGCGTATACTGTACGACTCGCTCTAATAAATGCGGCAGGATTGGAGCGAAATGGCTGTTTTTCTTTACCTTTATTGAGGAATGTTGTGTTGTAATTGAAAAGAACATCGACAAAAAGCTTGCAAATAGAATTAGTTATCAAATATGATAAAATCGATGCTTAAAAGAAAAGTTTGGTAGGGGGATCCAAATCTGCGAAGAGGGGTCCAAATCCGCTGTGACACCGGCTTTAAGGGTGCCCTTTCCGGTGAGATGTCTAAAAAGCACCTCGTGGAAGGTAGCGACCGATCAAATAACGTATTTGCTTCAATCTCATCTGCAATTTCCACATAAATCGGAAATGTCTCGTAATTGCGGAAGTTCTGGGTGAATTTCAGGGAACGCGGTTCGATCAGCTTTAGACACCAGTTGTTTGTTTGCTTGATATGGAGGGCGCCCTCTAGGTTTTTTCACACAAGAGCAGTCTTGTTCACGATGAGATGTCCACATAATGGGTTGTTTGAAGTTGAAATAATTTTTTGTCGAACTGAGTTTTCTCGGACTTGATAAAGTATTCTTTTCCTTACCGAGAGGACCCATTTGGGATAAATTTCTTCAAAACCCTGGTCGATATCATTTTGAATTGAACGGAAAGCTCATTTTTGAATAAGCTTTTGTCAGACTGTCTTACTTGAAAGTCCTTTGTCATGAAGTCGACAGACTGTTCTCAAGAAGGAGATATGATCATCCATAAACTGAGACAAAAAACAAAATGACCTTTAGGAATACTGAGAAAATGACTAGCTGGTAAACGCCATGACGTCATGACACCGAAGGACAACATGCGACAACAAGAACAGCCGTGCACGTGAATACGTTTCTCGGCGAAAACAAAGCGGATCAATTAACTGCTGAAGGAAAAGGACGCACTGAAGCGATTGTTGGAATTCAAGCGAACTTTGTTTTCACATAAAGAAATGCTGAAGGACAATGCCACGAGAAGCGTGACCGAATAACAGTGAAAATTAAAAATCGGCAGGGCCATGACTGTGCGACGGAAGTGAGAGTTCAGGGTAATAAAGATGGCAGCTACAAGATCAGCTATTTCCCCAAAGATAGCGAAAGATAAGAGGCAGTAGTCAAAGTGAGCGAAGAACAAGCTCGAGGCAGTCCCTTTCCGACTCTAGTTAAACCCAGACAGTTCTGTCCTGTGTTATCTTTTGGCCAACGAGGTTCGTCTGCTTGAATGTTAAACAAACCCTGGGGAGTGGCAGTGAATGAACGCGATGAAATTGCAGTGACTGATACTGGTAACCACAGGGTTCAGGTATTCAGTAGAAACGGTGATAAACAGGGAAAACTCACTCGTCCCAGAGGAGAAGCATTTGATAAGAATAATAACATTATAGTGGTGGATACTCTTAACAGCCTTGTTTAACTGTTCAGTGAGCAGGGTGAGTACCTGAGCCAGTTTGGTGGTAAAGGAAATCTTGATCACCAGCTGGATTATCCTCATGGTTTATCTGTAGATAATAAAGGCAATATTATTGTTGCTGATAGGTATAACAAATCAATTAAGATCTTTTCTCCTGATGGTCATCACTCATGTAAATTCAGGGATGAGGGTTCTTTTACCTTCCCCTCTCACTACGTACAATATGACAAATATCTGGTAGTGTCAGATGCAAACGAACATTGTATCAAAGTGTTTGCTGGAAATGGTAATTTTCTTTACAAATTTGGAAATAAGGGGGAGGGGAATGGGGAGTTCATTAACCTTTGTCATTTGTCAGTTAACAAGGCAGGACACCTGATGGTTTATGAGACTTCAAACCACAGAGTTCTGGTATTTGAGCTGAGTGGAAAATTTGTAACAAAATTTGGATCAAAAGGAAATAAGGAAGGAGAATTTAATACTGTTATCTCTACTGCAGTGCTTAGCAACGGTCGCATACCAGTAGTTGTTTCTGACTATTTGACCCATTGCATTCACATATTTGAGTAGACATAACATCACCTTGCCCAAACATATTTGAATCTAATTCATCAAATCTTTCATACATGTAACTGCTATCGGCTAGTGTTTTATATGATCTGCAAGAATCTTCTCACTGGTTATTGAAACTTTAACAAAACCTACAACATTGAAAATTTCAGAGAATCTCCATTAACTTAAGTGTAGTTTTTGAGTTCATCTTGTTTACAATCTTAGCTTGATCAATCATGGACATATTTCAATATTTTTCTTTGAGATCAAGTTTTTAATGACGTAAAACTACAAATTAAAAATGCTGCTATACATTCTTAGTATAATCATGTTTAGAAATGAAACAACATTTCACTCAAATGTACTCAAATGTTGTAGGAGGGCCACAAGTGTATCATTATTGTAACTGTTTCGTGCCACCCTTGATAAATAAAGTTGGGATGACTGAGGTAGGAACTTACTACTGAGTTTAATGAGTGTTGTAGGTTCTGTGACTCTGTTTTATTCTTACCAGCCACTGTAATGGACAGTTTGGAAGGCTGAAGTAGTGCTTCACACTTGCTAGAAACATCTAATTGAAAATTCTTACAGTGCAGCACTAAAATTTCATGATGCATCATGCCCCAAAACTTCAAAAACTGATTAATAGCTTGTTTAGTTAAAGTTTGAATGTGTACTTTCAAGTGCTAAGTCGTGAGACTGCATGAACGTTGGATCACAATGTCCTCCATTGACCCATAGGACTTATAACATAGTTGGATACAACCAAAACATCCTACAATTAATCTTAAAAAGTGTGGCAAAATCAGCTACCAGAAGCCAAGGTTTGACTTTGTTTGAAATAGTAAAATACATCAGTTACTAATGACACTTCACTCTTGTTTTGAGAGACACTTTAATTGTCACAATGTCCTAACAAATTCTTTTCCCTCAAACAGGTGATGCTGATTGACTCCAATGCTCTGCTTGACACATTGGAAAAATTACCTCAGAAAACATATAGGTAAATGTACATAGATGATCTTTCTAACATCTGTTGATTTTTTTCTACTGAGTTCCTTAATGTCCAAGTGCCCTGAACCCTTTCACTCCCAAGATGAAAAGATCAATTCTCTGCTCTGTACTTCAAACATTTATAACAAGTTTGGCTTTGATAATTTTTGTCAATTAAAACAATATACCCAAGTTAATCTTCTCCTTTCTCTCTCATCACCCTTTTATTTGAAATTGTGTTAATATTGTAAGGAGAACGTTCTTTTTGGTCACACTAGGGAGTACATGTACATGTGCATGTTTTATTTTACCATGTAACTCCTATAACCGACATATTGTATGTAATACTATATAGTGTGGTTATGCTGTTCTACTTTCAACCAGGAGACACATGTGCACTGTGTTCAGACAAAAGCTGTTCACTTGAAGTTCATCATGATTACTTAGCTCATAATGGAAAGGGAAGAAAGAGGAAGGGCAAAAACAAGGGGAAGAAGGTAAACATATAAGCCTCCTATCCACACCCCTTCACAATGCTTGATTAATACAGGAAATGGTTTGAACCCTGGGGTAACATGTAATAGTGTAGTTTGATCATCCAGGTGAGTGTAGTCCTGAGAAGGACTGTTGTGGGTAATGGTGACTGACGTTTCAACAACCTGAGCGGAAGTCATCATCAGAGTCAAGTGAAAGGTTGTTGTGGATTTGACTCTGATGATAACTTCCCATCACATATTCGAGTAGACATAACATCACCTTGCCCAAACATATTTGAATCTAATTCATCAAATCTTTCATACATGTAACTGCTATCGGCTAGTGTTTTATATGATCCACAAGAATCTTCTCACTGGTTATAAAAATTTCAACATTGCAAATTTCAGAGAATCTCCATTAACTTAAGTGTAGTTTTTAAGTTCATCTTGTTTACAATCTTAGTTTGATCAATCATGGAACATATTTTAATATTTTTCTTCGAGATCAAGTTTATAA